CCACCGACACTTAAGGACTGTTTTGCAAAAAGTGACAGAAAAATTGAGAGACAGACAGAGAAAGAGAAAAATTCAGAATGCAAGAGATCCATTACAAGAATTTCAGACATGAGTTAAACAGCAAAAATACTTTTGAGTTGGGTATTTTTGTCAGTGTATGGTGTGAGTGAGGGCTAACAGAAATGGTGACGGTCACATGCTGAGATGTAGGAGCTCAGGACGACTTTCTAAAACAACTCCTTGTGGACTTGCAAAGACCTTTCCAAGAATTTTAATGTGGAGTAATGCTGCGTTGTTCTGTGCAGTGACATTTGCACAAATATAACCTTCAAGGAGCATTCTTCAGAGAGAGACAAAGAAAACAAAAAATTTTGCATGATGTGTTTTACCTAAACCTATTGCTTATTTTTGATTCAAATGATTTTAATGAGAATATCAAGAACACGAAGTAAAAGAAGAAAAACAGAGAAAAACATGTTTGATGCCTTTTGCTTTTATATGACTTTACCAAAAAAATCCATTTCGACAATGGGGCTTAAAATTGTTGTAGCTTCTGGCTTCAATGATCTACAGTGGACTTTTGTGCTGAGTGGGCGTTGAGCATTTCATCGAGATATTCTTCTCCCTACATAAAACTGCAGCTTTGTCCTCCTTGTAGAAACAGATTCTGCAACCGATTTGTCCAAACACATCCTACAAGTTACAATCTTTTTTAAACCAATCATGTTAATTACACATTTTAAATTATTATTTTTTTATTGTTGCCTCACAACATTTTCTGCAGGATGGTTTTGCTTCTCTGTGATAACAAAGAAAGTGTAAGATAAAGTAGCTCCACGGTTCAGATAGCTGTCTGTTCAGATTTTCCCTTCGTGCCGAGGTGCCAAATGAGCATTACCAAGTTGCTTTTGTGCACTTTTTGTGTCTGTAGTGACCTAGTTGTATAAACAGGCAGAGGTCCAGCAAAAAAAAAAAAAAAAAAAAAAAGCCCAAAACTCCTTTATAGGCTCCCAAAAATTCCTCTCAGTTGGCAATTCTAGGAGCATGTGAAACAATAACGCAATGCATGAAACCTCTTTTTGTTTGCTCTACTTGACATTTTTCATGTCAAATGAAACAAGGAATGAAACTATATTTGTGAAGTCAAAAAAGCATAAAAATCCACCTTGACAGGTTTGCAAGGCAGGAATAAGAAGAGAGACAATTTTAATTTTCAGTCTGTTGCATTTCCATCCAAAATTCACAACGCACTGTAGTTTTCAATTCAGGTTTTATTATTCATGGTCTAACTCAGAAATAAATTTAAAACCTTCCTGCATGAAATTTTCACATAACTGAAACATTCTCAGCATAGTTTCTTTTATTTGAGGTCATGCGAGATAGCAAATGAATTCCACTGATGAATACGGACTTGAAATGTCAAATGTAACAGTAATCACGGTCAGCACAATAAAAATGCAATAATTAATTATTCACAAAGCATGTGCCGGATGCATAACAGAGTTTTTTTAAATGAAGATCTGCTGATATCTACGCATAAAAGATAATTACTTCTCATCACTAAATTATTTAAAAACTATTTTAGTGCCTTGAAAAAGTATTTATAACCCATTTCCACATTTTATACACATTTTATTTGATATCATTTGGCTGCACTGGTCCAGGGTATAAAAATAAATGTTTGTTCCACTTTTCACATTTTTCCATCCATCCATCCGTCCGTCCGTCCGTCCATCCATCCATCCATCCATCCATCCATCCATCCATCCAAAAAGTGCACAAAAGCAACTTCTTACGTTTGTTCTGAAGTGGGGTCGCGGGGGCAGCAGCTTTAATAGGGAGGCCCAGACATCTCTTTCCACAGCCACCTCTTCCAGCTCTTCTGGGAGGATTCCAAGGCGTTCCCAGGCCAACAGAGACATAGACTCGCCAGCGTGTTCTGGGTCTTCCCTGGGGTCTCGTCCTAGTCAGATGTACCCGAAGCACCTCCCTAGGGAGGCGTCCAGGGGGCATCCTTACCAGATGTCCGAACCACCTCAACTGGCTCCTCTCGATGTCGATGAGCAGCGGTTCTACTCCGAGTCTCTTCCAGACTTCTCACCCTAGCTCTAAGGGAGAGCCCAGTTACCCTGCAGAGGAAACTCATTTCAACTGCCTGTATCCGCAATCTCATTATTTCGGTCATTAACCAGAGCTCGTGACAATAGGTGAGGGTAACTAAGAACATAAACCGACCAGTAAACAGAGAGCTTTGCCTTACAGCTCAGCTCTCTATTCACTTCAACGGACTGGCACAGAGTTCGCAATACTGCAGACGCTGCACCAATCTGTCTGTCAATCTCACGTTCCATTCTTCCCTCACTCATGAAGAAAACCCCGAGATACTTGAACTCCCCCACTTGAGGCAGAACCTCACCCTCGACATAAAAAGAGCAATCCACACTTTTCTGACTGAGGACCATGGTCTCAGATTTGGAGGTGCTGATTCTCATCCCAGCTGCTTCACACTCTGTGCAAACTGCTCCAATGAGAGCTGAAGATCACGGCACGGTGACGCCAACAGGACCACATCACCTGCAAAGAGCAGAAATGGAATCCTGAGGCCACCAAAACCAGAATCCCTCCGCCCCCTGGATGAACCAAGAAATTCTGTCCATAAAAGTTATGAACAGAATCAGTGACAACAGGCAGCCCTGGCGGAGACCAAGTCCCACCCTTAAGGGGTCCGACTTAATACCGGTAATGCAAATCAAACTCTCGCACCGACTGTATAGGGACCGAACAGCCCGTAGTAATGAGCCCCCAATCCTGTACTCACAGAGCCCCCACACAGTGTACCTCAAGGAAAACGGTCAAATGCTTTCTCCAAGTTCAAAAAGGGTTTTTGCACATTTGTATATGTAAAAGAAAAAAAAATTGAAAACTGTTGTTTGTTGCTTTTCTTCCACTGCACAGTTATGGGCTTCTTTGTGTTGGTCTATCACACAAATGCCCAGTAAAATTATTTGATGCTTGTGGTTGTAACGTGGAGAAACGTCACAAAATGTGGAGAGAATACTTTTTCATTTACTGTATGCTAACAGAATAGGAAGCAGGTGGAATGCCCCCTGTGGGTCGGGAGAGTCTTTGCCTCAAGTGAAGAAGTTCAAGTCTTGTTTATTAGTGATGGTAGTATGGAGCAGGTGATGTATCGACGGACTGGGGCCTCAGCCTCATTAATGAGGGCGTTGCTTCAGTCAGTCTTGGTGACGAAAGAGCTGAGTCGAAAAGCAAAACTCTCTATTTACTGTTCTGTCTAAGTTCCAACCCTCACATGGGGGCATGAGGTTTGGGTCATGACTGAAAAACAAGATCCCATATACAAGAGGCTGAAATGAGCTTCCTTCATAGGGTGGACAGATTCAGCCTTAGAGAGGATGAGGTGCTCCATCATCTGGGGGGGTTCAGAGTAGAGCCGCTGCTCATGCACCATAATGAGTCAGATGAAGTGGTTTGGGCATCTGATTAAGGAACTTCCATTTAGGTGTGTTTTAGGCATGTCCCATTGGTAGAAGACCCCGAGGAAGACCCAGAAATTGCTGGAGGGATTGTGTACCTTCTCTGGTTATGCCTTGGACCCCCCCAGGAGGAGTTGGAGAGCATGCTGAGAAGAGGGAAGTCTGGGTTCCTCTCCTGGACTTGTTGCCTCCACGACCTGACTATGGATAGATGGTGGAAGATGGAGATGTACTGGATGCTAACAAATAAAGTTTGCAAAACAAAACCAAAAAATACAACTGTACAAAAAAAAGTACTTTCTTTAAGAACAAAGTACACAGACAAAAAAATTCATGACTGGAGTTGTAAAGTTTGCAGCATGCAGTAATTAGTATGTTTTGTGTGAAATAAAACCCAAAATATACTATTTTATGATGTCTACTTTCTAACAAGAAGCAGGAAGGAAGATGTTGATGGATTCAGCAGATGGTGGCGTTCACACAGGCACTGCCTTTCTGTTCACAACTGTGCATCTTTATTTCAGGTACATAATTACCCAAAAAACTTTTTTTAAATAACTTGACTGAAATTATGTGCTCTCGTGGATTCAAATTAAAAACCTACTGAGTCTAATTGGAAATATTTTACGCTTTTGTTTTTAATTCAGCTTTGGTTATTTGTGCAACTTCGTATAAGGAACAAATTTATCATCACCATTATGTTTTATTGGAATATTTGAGTAATTATTGAATGAGCTGTTAATACTTTGTTTCATATGGAATAACATTAATTCAACAGGCTGATACACTGTAAATAAAATCTAACAGGGCTATAATAATAAGCTCAACTGTCCGTCTTCCTTTTTTTTTTTGGCAACTAGAAATATTTCTTACTTTGTTCCTTCACCTGCCATGAGTCCCTAACAATGACAATTCTGTGACAGCTCAGTTTCTGCCTCATTCTCTGCCCTTGCAGTGATCTCGCAGTTTGCATGTCAGAGATGTGCAGCACAACAGCTGCTTGAATGACACTTAGGCATTTTAGCAGGAACATCACATTACAGTGAGAGCTTGAACGTACCATAGAAATGACAAGTGAAAATGATCTTTTTCTTTCACCATTTTTTTTTCTAACTTCATTTTTTTAAAATAGAAATCTTGGTGATAATCATGAAACAGTGATGTAACTCCAGGCATTTATTGACATCTTTGTTTAATCCTGCTGGTCCGCTGAGGAGTTGCCATGCTCTCCTCTCCACTGCCCAAACAGAACCGGGGATTAAAATAGTTGGATAGTGCAGTGTTGTGACAAGAACAGGGTTCAGCGTGTACTGGACCAATACCAAAAGATGGAGGGATAAAATCGTAAAAGCAAAGCTACAACAACTCCAAGAACATCAAACCCGAGCTTGTAGTTTTAATCGTACACAACACTACACTTTATTTCAGGTTTTTCCTGTAAAACATTCTTTTATTGTTCCTGCTTCAGTAAGCACTAATTAAAAAGAAACAAATGGGGCTTACCCAGTTTATTCTTGTGAATGACATGGATCTCATCTTTGTTCTGAAACGACAGAAAAAAACTTTTTAATAATTCAGACAACCATCTTCAAATAATGACCCACATACACATCCACGTTTGTTTCAACAACACAAAAATGGGTGGCGCGAAGATGCTGATTTTCTGCTAAACACTCCACTTCCTAATCACTTATGAAGAATTAATGATACTAAGTATTGAATCCCCCATGGCTTATTTGGAGGAATAATGGGCAAAACCCCATATCATTAGTCCTTTCTAATTGTGTGGGTTTTTGTGCCTGCAGCATTTAAGCTCCGAGTTCTCAGCTCAATTAAGGCGACGTTCCACCTTTGGAGCTGTCAGTGCACGCTGCAGACCAAGGAGGGATGACTTAATCAATCACGACCCACGGAAAACTTCAAGGATCAGTTTTCACCTCTATCTTTCAGATGAAATCACCCGGTCTTGGAAGAAGGCGAGAACGTTTGAGTTCTGAGCTCGAGAGCAGCAACGTATTAATAGATAATAATAAACTGGGTTTAATTTATGACTTACGCTAGACTAACAATCATTTCACTGACGAGCTACCGCAGGCTTCAGGGAGCTTAACAAAGTCATAAATTCTGTCTCAGACTGTGGGGTACGATTCTTCCAAGAAATATCAATATTGTGATTGTAGTTTTGTCAACCAGATTAAAAAACTCAGCTCATTTTGGGATGATTAACGATTGTTCATACTTCTTACGTTAAATTCCCTTACCTGAACAGCCTCATGTTACAGGCATTTTATTTTGGCAGGCATCAAATGAGCAGCAGCTGTTATCAGTCCATAAAATGTTTGTTATTATCATCCCCATAAGGTTGCATTCAGACTGTCCCTATTGTACCTCCTAGTTGGTTTAAAGGTATGTTCTTATCTTATATATGCAGCTTTGCGAGCGTGTGAAACCTGAAGTCTTTCTTTTTGTTAGCTTTATTTAACCTTTTATCTAAACCTAACCTTACACCTGACCCAGAGCACTGACCCTAAACTTAACCCCCTGACCCTGGACGTATTATCAACGATAAGAATGTACCTTTAAACCTACTAGGAGGTACAGGAGGGACAGTTTGAACGCAACCTATGGGGTGATAACTAATAACGGACATTTAATGGCTGATAGCATTTAAAGCCGGTGAAATAAGATGGAGTTCAGCAAACATGCAGATATATTCATCATCTGAGTAAGTCTGTTTCTTTACTTTTCCCCCCTCAGGTGATCAGTGTTAGATGCAAATATATGCACAGAGACTAGATCGGATCAGGGTGATTTGATTCTGTGGGCTCGTCAGCTTAATTGGACTCAGTAGCATTAGTCATAGCTACAAGATTTCTGTCTCATCTCATCACACACTCCTTGTTAGAAATAATCTTCTGAGCGGAAAAAAGAAGAGACTTCCAGGAAAAAGAGTATGGAGGTGGCTTATCCAGCTCATAAACCAGACAAATGGAACTCATTAGCAGACAGTTACACTTAACAGATTTCTTCAGCTAGAAAATATGTTCTAATAAACAAGTTATCTAATACGAAGCACTTGAAAACTGGAGGCAAATGATAATAAAACAACTTAGGAAGAGTAGAATACGATGGTTGAGGTAACTGTGGAAGAGAAGAGGCAGTTCTTGTTCACCCCATTTCCTGCAGCAGGGAGGAAGCCGTAAATCACCGCGCTGTGATGGACAAGCAAAACTCAATTAACTGCTCTGTCAAACATCACTAATTAAAGTGATTGTACAGTGCGTGTATAGTTATATATTGTTTGATGTGAGAATGTATGGCGTCTACATGGTTTCACCATATACAACCTCAAGTAAGACCTAATGCTTTGTGACGAGTTTTAATTAAGCTTCAATAAAGCCGACCTGTAGAGACTCGTTCACAGTAATACTGTGTATTTTCAGAGTTGCTCTAGCGTTATCATAGTCTACGATGTGCTAAGTTGAGATAAAAGGCTTTGACTTTTAATTGAATTTTAATAAACTTTTCGCACAGTGTGGATTTTGCTGATGCATCCAGAAAAAAATAAAAAGTATAAAGACCTAGCATTCCTTTAGAGAATGCATTTTGTGTTGGCTAACTTTGATTAGATATGGCAGCCATATTTAATTGAACTGACTCCAAAATGTATTCAATTGGACCTAAAATTAATACTTTCTGAAAGTTTCAATAACATGTATCCAGTGGTTTATGACGTATTTTCCTTGTTTTTTTTTAAATCCCTTCTTAAAACCCATTTCTTCTCCCTGGCCTTTGACACCATCTGTAATGTTGACTTTTAATTATTTTAATTGTTCTTTATTGTCCATCTGTAAGATTGTTTTATTATGTATGCATCACTTTGGTCCTGTGGGTGTTTAAAGTGCTTTATAAATAAAGCTGGTATTGTATGGTATTTTGATAATAAACAGGGTCAACTCTAACATGTAATAAGAATGTTGTAACATGTTTATTAAAACATAAATATTAATAAAGACATATTAAATCATGTTTCTAATATGTTTTAAGAAAATAATTTGTGCTATGAGTAGCTTTTGGAGCATGTGTTGTGAGTGATTCTCAGCTACAATAGTAGCAAATTTTAGGAAAATGTATGTTAAATGGACTGATTTAACTTTTTCTGTTTTTAGGGTCAGTTGGCTGTCCATGTTGAATCGGTTTGACTTTAAAATGTAACCAGTTGTAGCTGTACATTCAAGGTTCAAGGTTGTCATTCGTATCACATGTGGTACATAGGGGTGTCAGTCACCAGCTTTACCACGATACGATATATTGATTTGTTTGTATGACGATACGATTTTCTCGATATAACAAAGTCTGTCACGATACGATTTCGATTCTATTCGATTCACAAGTCTGCGATCGATATATTGTGATATCAAACGCCCATCTCATTTATATATAAATAAACTTACAAAAACAATTCAAATATGATTTAACCATTTTATTTCTGTTATACAAGGCATTTAAATTAAAAATACCAACATTTTTTCTTAATCAATGAAAAAATAAAAATAAAATGACCTGTTCAGTATAGTCTCACATTTCTCATGTTTAAGTGCATTTTTAAAGCAGTTAACTTAAAAGTGTCCTGATTACCTTTCAGTTATAAAAAAACAAAAATAGATATTGCGCTTACATAAAATAACATTGCTACGAATGTCATGTTTCTTCTTCAGGTGAACGGTCAAATTTGTTGCGTTTCCCGAGCCGTACTTCTGTTGGAATCCAAAATATTTCCACAGTGTTGATTTAAATCCAGCAGGAGAGTGAATTTCATTATCTGTGTTTTCTGCCTTGTCTGCCATGTTGCTGAGGCGGCCGCGCACAGAAATGGTAACACAGGAATTAGGAATTTCAAAATAAAAGTGCATTTAAGAGAACACGATATGAATCCATGTTTTAATTTTGCCACAGTATAAATGAATCATTAATCATTTAATCGATATATTGATTTAAATCGATGTATTGTTACACCCGTAGTGGTACATGTGGTGGACCGAAATTGTGTACTCAAGATCCCAGTTACACCCAAACATAGCAATAATATAAACTATAACTATAACAAAAACAAACAATGTAGTGAACTAAGCCTCAGGTCAAATCTGGCCCTGAGGGCCTTCCTGGGACAAGAACTGTTATTTCATTGATTTGAGTCCAGAAACACAAAATCAAGTCCATCCAGAGACTTTCTAAGTGTGTCCTGCACTGATCAATTGAAAGAACACTCTCTTTTTTATCATTACTATTTTACAAATGTCTTGATAATCAAAGTGTGTTTAGTTCAAACCATTTTAAATGTTGAAGTGAACTACTCATTTTAAATCAACTGTGAAACAGTATAAATGATTTTCAATCCTCATTCAAAGTAGAAATCTAGCTAATGTCTGTTACAGAGTAATTATTCATTTTCTTGATCTTCTGTCTGAAATGAGCAAGTGTAAGTCGGTCAAAAGTCAAGTTTCGGTCAACTACATGTTTACTGGAAAGAAATGTCATGTTTAACTTTTTCAGACAGATAGAAGTAGAACTGACTCCACAAAGTCTCGGTTTCTTCAAAACATTTTCTGTCTGTTCTTAAACAACTTAATCTTTTTCCTTGACTTTTAATAACCTCTTACATCACTAAAACCACACCCCTGTTTGGTCGATCGACCAATCAGGAAGTTCTCAGAGGAACCGGAAGTGACCTCTTTAAAAGGTTCAACACTTCCTAGTTCCACAGAAAAAATGCAGAGAATGCTGAGAGTTAGTTCCGAGAGCAGCAGAGTTCAGAATGCTGGAATGCAGAATGCTGGAGAACAACGGCAACTAAGCTGAACGAGAGAAGTTCAGAGGAACTATGAAGAAGTCTGTTCTGGGATGATCTCACGACTCCTGAGGTTTAGCTGTTCTTACGGAGACGCTGGAAGAGTTGAAAGGAAAACTCTACGCCAACGCCGAAACTATCATCTGCAAAGGTAAAGAGTCGATCTCAACCAAAGTGTACCGTGGGTTAAGCTGTATCCAAAAGGAGCGTGTTGTCGTTCTGGTCTACAGACCTACATCTTATACAGACACATACATCTTCACCCATCTCTCTCCATTTAAACCCCTTTATTTCTCATCTTTAAAACTCTTCTATCTGCCAGTAATTAATCCAGATATTTTCAGAAATGTCTGTTGTAAAGCTTGAACCCAGATACCATGGCCGTATGGTTTCTGATTGTAAAGCTAATTAATTAAGCTGTTGTTGAAATCAATTTGCCAAATTAATGTAAATGTTTGATGTTAAACTTTGATTCTGTTAATAAATGACCGCATTCATTGTGATGGGTCAAAGAAAATTAACGTCTCACGTTACATTTAATCATTCAATGCACGATAGAACTCAGTCCAGAAAAATGAAAAAATCCGTTTAATTTATGGATAATATCTCACAGATATATGTTCATTTACAACAACATACAGTATTCATGAATTATTCCTGAAGGTGTGATTAAAATCTGTCCCAGAATTCATAAGTTAGGAGTCAAAAATTTAAATAAAGATATTTCACATCAATTAATGCTCAGAAAATGTCTTTTTAACTACTACCACACTCAAAAATGGGTTAGCAAGGGTTTGCTTTCGGTTTAGTCCTCAGACTAATGACCGCATTACTCATCGTGGACCACTTGGATCATAACTTATCCTCTCATCGTTACCGAACCCACAACACTATCTGCTTTGTACAACAACACTATTTTTATACCTGAACACCTGCCGAATATAATAATATAATTATATTATGGTTTTACTTTCTACATATTTACTTTCAGAGTTTGTTGTTTTTCTATTTTGGGGAAGTTGTATGTGAATAATGTAACTAACAGATGTGGATGTGACATTTTCAGCTTATGATCAGTGCATTACCACCTATTGTTTGCAGTATTGTGAGAACGAGAGGGACAAAATGAAATTAAAAAGTTCATTTTATTGTGTTAGCTCCCTATAGTTATGTCCAATGTTTTCCTTTATGTTGCATTCCATGTGCAATCCTATTTTTTATTAGTTCAAGAATGTACAAATTAAAAATAATCACAAAGAGTTTTAATATATATATTTTTTCTTTCATACGACTTCCATGTAGTCCATGTAGCATGTGGGAAATGGTGGCAAAGAGGTTAGAGAAGGTGGGTCTGTGTTCGGAAGGTTGCCGGTTCGACTCCCCGTACTGACAACATCAAAATGTGGGTGGAAAAGGTGAAGCACCCACACTTGTCTCCAACCTCATTTGCCCCCATCTGGACCCTTGAGCAAGGCCCTTAACCCCCAGGTGCCCTAGATAGGAGCTCTCTGCTCCACTCAGAGGGCTGTGGTAGCTCGGTGGTCTGTGGTTGTGTCAGGAAGAGCATCCAGCGTAAAAACAATGACCACTGTGGCGACCCCTGAAGAAGAGAGCAGCCGAAAGAAGATTAAAAAAGTAGCACGACTTCCACTGAGCTCATATTTTTATTCGACTGTGGAGTCGGCAGGAAACAAAAAAAAAGATCCAACTTGAGCAGACAAGAATAAAAGCTGTTATTGTCATCAAATCAATGCTTCATTACATTCTCATTCCTGGTCTTAGTCAGCCTCTTTACAAAGTGTGACACCTCTCTTCCAGCAGTTCGTTAGCGTTCTCTTTTTTGGTGGAAAAACATAAAATAAAATAAATAAAGTTGCACTGGGTTTGGACAAAAGCCCAGGTGGTGTTAATATTTCATGAGATAAAATTTTCATTAAATCCACACGTCAGCGAGATGAATGAACACTGGCTTTTCATGGTCAAAAACAAACTCATTAGCTCGTTCTGTCCTTTTGCACATTTTATACGCAGCTCTTCAGCGGCACTTTATAAAAACCTGTGGAAACAGATAACTCAAGGACGACAAATCGTTTTCTGATAAAAGATCAAATATGTGCAGCGTTGTAAAGTATTTTCCTAAGGGAATCAGACACCCGTAAGTGTTGGGGGAAAAAAACAAACATAACTTTGTTCTGTCTGAAGGGTCAGTTTTACTGTTGCAGTGTTCTTTAAATCTGAAGAGCCAGAACACTGATGTAGAAACTGAAAGACGGCAGTTTGTGTATTTTAACCACAGAAGAAAAAGCAGAGTGGCTAAAGAACTCTCAGCTGACGTCCACATGCGTAAACCCTTCAAGGAAGCGGTTCAACCTACTTAATATGACTCGTGCAATCAAGGGCACCCACAAAGAGAACCCCTCGATCCCTGCCTTTGATTTAAAAGCTCTTCACATCCTCTGCTCCATCTCCGGGTCCCTGAGGACACGAGAGCTGCACACGTGGCAGTGACCTATCAGTTCGCATTAGCTTTCTGTTCACTGGTGGCAATATTGATTGAAGGTTGAGGGATTTTTTCTGTATTTTGACATGTAAAAGGAAGTACGGCATCCGAAAGGTCATCTTGTGGACGCTTTTGGACGAACTGAGTTGCTTTGAAATTAAATGTCACCCCTGGTTCATGACAGGTGAGCCGAGAAAATGTTTTATTCAGTAAATATGTTCTAAACATGAACTAAACCTTTTAATGCATAATGATTTAATAACTTAAACAACCACAGTCAACATCAAAGTAACATAAAAATATTAAGACAATTTGACAGACATTGCGCTAAATGGTTGATGACTGTAGTTAAAAGTCATTCACAACACATAGTACTCCATGTGCTCTTCACTGTGTAAAATTTGATTGACACCTACAGCTGATTACCTTTTAAAGTCAATCCAGACCAAGATGGTTGCAACAACTAATTAGCATTAGCCAACATTGCCAAAATGACAAGAACTCACTCAGTTTTACAGATACTGGGCTAAAATGGAATGTGATAGTAGCTGAGAGTCAATTCTAACACATACGTTGATGGTGAAATTTCGCAATATTAGTATTTTCAAGGTTTGACCAAAAATGGTTACAACTCCACCATTACTCAGCTAAAACTAGCAGGAAAAGCAGCCAGTGACATGAGTTTTCTTCACTGTGTTGGTTTTATTTAAATCAGAACTGGTGATAACAACATAGTTAACGGTTTCAGATGAATGCCGGATGGTGATTGGACAACATGCATCGCAGCTTCACAGACACTTGCTGACTGTCGACACAGCAGAATGAAGAAGAAAAAAACTAGAGCTGCAAAAAAAAACCAGTCTAACTTATTAATCATTTACTGCTCTTTTAACTGTATAATATTGCTTTGGGTCACACATAACTATTCTGTTCCAAATCTGAGATCTATTTGCTTTCTTGGCAATAAAAACGCTGCAGTAAAACGTCCTGATGCATGCTCAGTGCTGCAGTAAAACGTGAATATCTGGATGTGAGATCTTTGCTTATTGTCTGTACTGTCAGTGCTGTCACAGCTTTGTGACAGGGATCAGAAGCTCCAGAAACAGCCGAACATTGCTGCATCTTATTCCACAGCATGGACACTATAAACAGGGGTTTTATGCGTCTGAATCATGTTTTCATGACGTGAAACGTGCAGAACAGACACCTAGAGGGGTGCATTTGGTGAAGTTCTTCACTAAAACAAGAATGTCAGAATATACAGGTATATTTTAATAATACTGTACAACCAAGAGACTAAATCACTACAAGCTGAACAGCGTCAGGAATGATCAGATCTGACACTGTGGATTGGAAACCGTATTGATTTGCAGGTGCAATGACTTAATGTTGTTACTTTCATTTAGTTAACAATCATCTTGATAGGAACAAGATGAAGACCCCCCCCCCCCCCCCCCCAGCCCGTTCTGCTCACTGTTCCTGCTTCAAATAACTGATTGTGTGTTGGAACACAGCAAACAGTTCATATAAATTTTGCACATTGTAATGAGCACCTTTATTTTATTTTATTTTTTTAAACAACAATGTGGAATCCAGCCTGGACAAAACTGAGGCTCCTCATTCAACAAGTATTGATCAACGGGAAAGCCTTGAGTCTTTAGTCATTCTGTCTTTAGGAAAGTCAGCTTCGACTTTTTTGTTTATTTACAAGGCAGAATAAAAATCCAAATACAAAAAACCCAAAATTTGTCTGGTGTATGAAGAAAAAACTTTTCTTTTATCTGAAGCCAAACCGAAGCTGCTGCATAAGCAGGAAGAAACACAAAGAAAACAATTAGAGCCAAGAAATAAGTGCTCACATGTGGAAATAAGATAACAACTGAGACAAATGACAGTACAAGTATCTAACAACTGAATAAAGATAATAAAAAAACCTGTGGATATAAAAACAGAGAGGGGTAACGAGACATAAGGAGAAGCTCAGATAAAATCTGTATCAGGGTGAGAAGATAAGCAGAACACAAATTGACAGTATTTCCAAAAATAAAACAGGAAGTGTGTTAAAATGAATGTAAAACACAACCAGATGGAATCATAATGGAAAACACTAAACCAGAACAGAACCAGAACCTTCACACAATGACCGTTGGTACCACACAATCAGTTGATTGGACCTTGTTACGTTACTCAGAGAATTCATGTTGAATCAAAATCAGTCAGTTCAAAGTCTTTTTATTTTTATAAATCGTAGTAAGACACGATGACTAGTAAATGTACTAAACATTTCACATGTATACAAGTCTAAACTACGGTGGCCCTGAGGTGTAAATGAAATGTACATTTGAGAAACGGAATTACATTTCAAAAAATGGAATTGCATTTGAAAAAAACACAACGACATTTGAAAAAACGGAATTACATTTGAAAAAAAATAAAAATAAAAATACATTAAGCCAAAGCAGAAGAGACCAAAATGGAACCTCTGTTGTGTGTAGGCATATACTGGTATGTATCAACCATCAAGATGTTTTCTGGGTCACACATGTTGGTGAAATATAAAAATCTAGATCAAATGAAGTCATGGGGCATTTTACAAATGTTTGATTTTTGATGCGAGGATAATGTGAAAAAAGTAAAAAGCATGGTTGTATTGTTTTTTTTTTTTTTTTGATTCTCAATTAAAAACCAACTGAACGAATGGTACATGGACCCCACTTTGGCCACTTCCACCTTGACTTAATGTAATTCCATTTTTTTTTTTTCAAATATTGTGTTTTTGTGGGTTTTGTTGTGTTATTTTCTATTTCATTTTTTTAAATGTAATTCCGTTTTTGTTGTGTGTTTTTTTCAAATGTTCAGGACCACCATACTACACACACTAAATCACACCCAACTATAAGCTGGAGTTATAGGTTGGGGACAAACAAAAAAGAAAAGCAAAATCTGTTCTCTTGCACAGACTTGGATAGAACTGGGGTGTTGTCTGTTCAGCGTATTCAAGTTCAAATTCTTTTTCTCCTTAGACTCTGGCACAGTCAAACGATGCACCGGAGGAGGCTGCAATCCCTGCTGGTTCTTGATGCCAGTCGGGGACAGAAAAGCTCCAACACAAAGACAGACGAGCATGCAAGCTTGCACGGAAACCTACAGTCAACGTAAAAAAATAAAAAAAAACCTCACCAATTAACCTAACACGCACGTCTCAGTGGTGTGGGAGGAAACTGCAGCACGTGGAGGAAACCCACGCAGGCTCAGACAGAGAAGATACAAACTCCAAACAGAAAGGCTTCAGCTGAAAATCAAACCAGACAATGTAAGGTGGGTTTTATAAATTCATTTAGCAGAGAAAGAGAGAATTCTGAAGAAACCCCAAAAGTTCAGTCCAAAGTAGGTTTTATGCTTGGAAGGAATTAAGGATTGCAAAAATGTTTGTGTATTGAAGAATGAAAAAAAAAATAACAGAAAGGGGAAACAAATGTTTGGAGGTAAACAGCATCATCCCTTGTGCCAAAACTCGACAAGCTAAAGGTCATGGACCTCATGGACCAGTCACTGCAAGAAAAAATATGAACTGGTGTGAGAGGTTTAGACTCAGAGCAAGTTATGTTGAGAAAATAGTTTTGGCAATGTAACACTAAGTCTATGTGAATGACTCTCAGCTAGTACCAAATCAAAGTTCACCTCATTATCTCAGGTAATGCTGATTACCTGTGGTGGCCATCTTGAATTGGATTGGCACCAAAAGTTATTCAAGTGCAGGTTTTATTAAAATCCGTTCACTGGTTTATGGATATTTTGCTACCAGACAGAGTTGATTCCAAAATGGTATTGGCAAATGCTTAAACATAAAATTGAAATAAGCTCAAGCAAAACACCAAGCCCACTCTGAGCGCCTGACAATTTGAAAAAATATTAGACGGTCTTACTCCTTTAATTTCTGCCTAGGTTTATTGAGA